GGAGCGTGTATCTCATGCAATAATCGCGTAGAGTCAGATAATAAAGCATCTTATTGTTGCGAAAGCTACGTGGACATGGGGTCTTCTTCGCTTTGATCCCTTGTCCTTTCTGTTATAGAAAAAATATTTTTAAAAAATTAAATAAAAATGTTTTAATTCATTTGGATTAAAATTTGTAGCTTTTTTGCCTCCAATTGGATTTTGAAAACTCGTTATCCAGTTTATACGCTTCATTTGATATCTGATAACCTTTCCCTTTATTAATTTGATATCCTAATAATTTACTGATTATATAAAAAGGCTTACAAGTTATTCAAAAAAAATAAAAATAAAAAGGCTTACTATAATCAGTTTTTTACCATGAAGTGGGACAAAAAGAAACAATAAGAATATAGGCTTTTTGACGGCAAAAACGATGATTTTGGTAAATATGGGTTTGCCTCTAAAACAACTTATTCTTCATTCATCGATTTATATTTAGGATCAAAGTATTATAAAGAAAATTAGGTTATAAATCGTATATTCCTTTGTTCTATACTATGATGGGAACAAACATTGGGTGTGGAAAATGATGACGTTTGGAAAAAACAAATGCAATAATTGGAAATTATGGAAGATTAGGTAATGTCCACGTAGGATAATTAGGTATAACCTGATGTGCATGATGGATTGATGAGTCACATTCATGATAACATTCCGTCTTTTGCATAACAGTATTAGTGTATTTGGATAATGATGCAAAGCAACACATGATTCGTGGTCTAGTTTTAAGAAGGTTATATCTATGTGGATATTCGTTGGATGACGTAGCCTTCTTACCTGATTTTTACTATTAATATACAGATTATATAACGCTAATGGATTTAACATGTAATCTATTTAGTGGCCTGTGGACGAAGCAAACCACCAACTTAATTTATTTTGTTGAGGAAGTTTCTTAAGAAACTAAGTGAACAGTTGATCAAAAAAAATTCGTAGGGTGAACAGTTGAACAAAACAAAATTTGTAGGGTGAACAGTTGATCAAAAAAAATTTGTAGGGTGAACAAAAAAATAATAATGTTATTGCAAAGCATAACATAATGTTTGGTTATATAAAAGACACAACTTCCCTTAAGAGTAGTGAGTACAAATCAAACTAACAAACCACTGAAGAAATTGGGTAAGATTAATTGTCGTTTTGTTAGCAAATAGAGCAGAATATGTTCATGTGAATTTGAATTTTTTTTTTAAATATAGACGAAAATTTGTTCAAAAAAAAAGAATTTTTTAAAATATATTTAGACGAAAATTTCAAAACCAAAATATATACTAATCTCTAGATTTCATGACAAAAACATATATTTCTACTATTTACAATGTTTATAGTGATTGCATGCTCTATTTTACCAATTTAATCTCCTATGTTATCCGGCAAACAATTATTTTTGCACCTACTGTTTAGTCTCATTCATGTAAATACTCTTTTGCTGGTTAATGAAGTTGAACAGAAAAAGAATTGTGTTTCAAACACTAACCAACTACCTGATTCGATATACTCCCTCCGTTTTATATTAAGTGTCGTTGTAGAGAATTTTTTGCGTTACAAAATAAGTGTCGTTTTCGGTTTTCAATGCAAAATTTATTAATTTTATTATGTAATTTGTTTTTCTATTGGTTGAAATATGGTTAGGTGTATGGGTAATTGTGTTTTTATATAGGAAATATGTAAAATTAATTGTTTTCTTAATCCGTGTGCACAGCTGTAGAGTGACACTTATAATGAAACAGAGGGAGTATTATTTAGGAATCCATTTATCCAGAACCTCTAGAATTTATTAAGGAAAACAATATGAGAGTATTATTCAAACTTTTTTATAAATGAGTGAACAACCCAAGGCCCATTGGAGCAAGTCTTGGGATAGTGTACTAATACATATTTGAAGACCCAACAACATTCTTGGGTTGATTATAGGAACAAAAACAAGGAAAATGGAAATCAAGTTCTTCGTTGGTTAGATTCAGGTAATGAGTGGTGACTTACTAATGTGCGGTTTTGAAAACGCACTTTATAATTAACATCACTTAAAAGATAGTGGTTGTTTGAAAAACGCACTCTGTCATGCAAATAAATATTTTAATAATAAATTTGCTCATATAATTCAATTTCTCTCACTAATAATTCAACTCATATGCTTTTTTAAATAGTAAACTTTATCATGGTTATGTAACTTTTAGTATTTTACAAAACTTTTTTGAGAAATAGTATTTTACAAACTTTTATATGTGCTATTTCTCTTTCTAGGTATATTCTTTTTTAACTTTAAATAAATATTTATCATACAATTGGATGATCCAAAATGACATTGAATTGGTACTACAAAAAATAATTTTTCTTTTATTCATTACTAAATAAAATAATTAAAATATTATATATTTTTAAAATAATTATAGGAGTTTATTTAATTTAAGTTCCTAGTAGCTCTCACAATAAGTTTATTTAAGTTCTATTTTTGAGAGAAAAAACTTTAGCATTTTTTCTATAAATTACAATAATTAGTCTTAGTCAAAACATATTAAAAACAGAAAAAAAATACTATAGCTTATTTTTATGGGAAAATTAAAGTACTTGATAGTATTTTTGAATTTATTGTGTTTTTATTTAATATATTATTTGAAATATAGTTATATGAATTTAAATTGAGAAAATGACTATGATAGCACTAAAAATATTTTTGTCACAAATATAGCATTTAAGAATAAAAATGATCAAAATAGCACTTAAAGTTTTATCAAAGAGCTAAATATACACCTATATCCCAATGATAAATTAATTTAGACATTAGCGTTTAGAGTTAAGGAATGAGATTTAGAGTTTATGGTTTAGAGTTTAGAGTTTAGGGTTTAGAGTTTAGAGTTTAGGGTTTAGGGTTTAGAATTTAGGTTTTAGAATTTAGAGCGGGAGTGTCGTTTTGGAGATAAGATTTTTGAAAAATATTTTTTTTTTTAATTTCTAAAAAATAAAATACTATTTTAGTCATTTTAGTTTTTGAGGACTATTTTTGTGATATAAACTTAGAACTGTGCTATTTTGGAGATTTTCCCATTTAAATTTCTATTTTTTAATTAGAAGGTAAAATTGTAAAATTAGAAAATCACTTATGAATTTAAAATTTTATTTCAAATATTAAAAATTAGAAAAAGTTATAATATAATCGCTAAAAAATATATATATTTTTTATTTATATTAATAGAATTATACATATTTTTTCTATAAACCACATTATTTTCTATTAAATCTGCATTTCTTTTTTTACAAAACTGTATTTATCTCGCTAATCGCATGAATTACTAATTTAGGGGTGGGCGTTCGGGTACCCGTTCGGGTTCGGGTCGGGTATTTCGGGTTTGCGGGTATTTCGGTATTGGGGTTTAGAATCCGTTCGGGTATTTTTACATATCGGGTCGGGTTTGGATATTTTTAGTTCGGGTTCGGTTATTTTGGGTCGGGTTCGGATATTTAGATTTTGAAGAAAAATTTTAAATTCTTAATTACTTAAGTTTCATGTATTTAAAATTTAACTATTAACTTAACTGTTTTTTTAATGTTTAATAAGTTAGACGATTAATAAGTTTGAAAATAAATTATTGAAAATAAAAATCATTATTTTGGTTATTATTTTCGAATTTTGGATGCAAATTTTGTTTAAAGTATGAAATAAGAAGCTTAACATGCATTTTAAATGAGTAACAAATCAATTTTTTAAAAATTATATGTATATTATCTGATATGAAACTATATATAACATTAATATAAATAGTTTTAATAAAATGAGACAAAATAAACTAGGAATAAATAGGTATATATACATATGTTCGGTTATCTTCGGATATCCGTTCGGGTTTGGGTATTACCCATTCGGGTTCGGATATCCAAACTCTACTAACTCAATATCCGTTCGGATATTTTGCTACTTCGATTCGGATTTCGGTACAGATATTTCGGGTCGGGTTCGGGTACGAGTTTGGGTATCGGATAAAGTGCCCACCCCTAATTACTATTGCATACCGTACTTTAATTTCGTGTCATTTATATTATCAAATACGTCCTTACCATTCCGACCCTGGATATCTAAAACATCAAACTGTACCCTAGATATTTCGCTGGGCCAGAAGTATTCTTCAGGATATATGACTTTCACTTGGGTCATGCAACCTACTAATTACGCATAGGTCTACGCACATGCGACTATGACGTTCTGACCACCTTATCCATTCTCTTATCCCAAGATAAACTGACGACTCGTCAAGTTAATAATTTGTGAATTGCTCGGTCATGGCCATGCATTTATTGTGCAAAACTACGCCGGTCAATTTACAAGTTTGAATTGTAATTACTTTAGTAGGTTCTAACCTGGTCGTTTTTAACTCAACCCGAAATACTGACTTTAACCCGAATCGAAAAAACCGAAACCGAATCCAAATTGTTTTACAAAAATATCCGAACGGGACTTGTAAGCTTAGTACTTTGGACTATGGTTATAATCCGAACCGAACCGAAATCCGAATTAGGATCCGAAGATATCTGAAATTAGTTAATATATTAATGTTTTTATATATGTTAAGGTGATTTAGATATTTTAGTGTATTCAAAATATTTTTGTAGTTTGTTTTATTTGTTATTTTGAATACTTTTTAGTTAATTTAGATAGCTTAACTAATTTTAATTAGATTTGTAATTAATTTACATATTTTGAAACTTTTTTTTTGTCAATTTTCAAGGTTTTAAAAAATATATTTTTAGACGATTTTAAACATTGGTTAGATCCGATCCGAACCGAACCGGTAAGGAACCGATCCGAACCGAACCCGTAAGGAACCGAACCGAATCTGAACCGATAATTAGTAAAAACCGAATGGTACTTGTGAACATAACACCGAAAATCTGAAAATCCAAAAATCCAAATACCCCGGACCGAAACCGAATGGGTCACTGAACGCCCAGACCTAGTTCTAACCCAAGCTCTTCAATGTGAATGGCATTAAATTAAATGATATTATAGTAAACTTTGTACGTTGAACTATTCTGAGTTCTTCTAGTAATCTTGGTATTTCATTGAGTGAAAACATCGTATTAATGTAGTATGAAAAAGAATGAACAAATATAAATTAAGCAAAAGACATGAACACATGTCTTGACGTATCTGCTTTCTTTTGTTAAGCTCATGCAAACGTGTACTTCCACGTTAGCGTGCACACAAAGAAAAAAAAAACTCAAACAACGGTCAAGTTAACGGATAACGGCGACAAAAGCGGGAAGTTGTCCCAATTGCATAACTCCGTCAAGTTAAAAGCCTCTTTGCCGTCAACGCTCTCTTCCGTCTTCAACACTTTCTCTACCACCACCGCCACATCGTCGTCTCTCTTCCGTTTCTTCTTCTCACCGTCCGCGTCGGAGCGTGACTTCCACTTCCCAACCTCGAGTGGGAAATTAAGAATGGCCTTCGATCCTCGAAGTCTAAACGCTGCTTCGTCGTAAGCTCTAGCCGCTTCAATCGCGGTATCAAACGTCCCTAGCCAAATGCGCGATCCGCGTTTGTTCGGGTCGCGAATCTCAGACGCGAATTTCCCCCACGGTCTTTGTCTCACTCCTCGGTAATGCCTTTGCTCTTCCGGTTGAACCGGTTTAGTAACTTCCGGTTTCGGATTAAATTGAACCAATTCGGTTTTGTTTGGTACAGAGATCTTCAGTGACGGTTTTCGTTTTGATTGCGAGTCGTCAGAGGTGGATTGATTTTTAAGCTCCGGTTCAAATTGATTTCCGGTTTGATAATTTGGTTTAAATTCAAAACCGGAAACGGAAACGGAAACGTCAATGTCGAATTCAAATGGAGTCGAAATCAAATCCATGAATCTCGGCGTCGAGAGATCAATGATTTCAGAACCGGAGCTAGTTTCAGCTGATGCTGATTGGTGTATCATCCATGGATCGGTAGCCACGGGTGAAAGCTCGTCAAGAAGATGCTTCTCGATTAACCAAAGTGCAGAAGAGACTTCGCTAGGATTGGCCATTGATGTAATTTTTTTCAAAAAATGTATTTTTGAACTTTTAGTGTGAGGTTTAAATTCGTAAGAGCAGAGAAAATAGAGGAAGATGATTTGGTAGATGACGAGATGGTTTGAGTAGAGAAGAGAGTGGAAAGATGTATATATACTATACACAAGAACCATCCTTGCAGTAGACTTTTTCAATGGTGGTTGTGAATACATTTGAATTTAATTTAAAACATGAAGGGCCAACGAACCATCCTCTTGTTGTCTCTCTTGTTTTTTTAATCATTTAAACTAATCAGTCCAAATCAGGTGTAAAAGGGAGTACCACTTGGTCGCGTAATTCATGGACTTTGAGCCGTTCGATTGGATTACGAATTCAGTTTGTCGACTACAATGCTCCATCTAGTACAGTATATTTTACGAACGTTATCTCGAATATTTGAAACTTTTTTTTTTTTGATAACTAACATTTAAAGTTTTCGGGACAAACACAAATGTTACAGTGATATATTTCAAAAATATATACACATGCCAAGAAACACATTGCTTACAAACATGGCCGGATTTGGATATAGTCGGACGAAACATTCGTCTAGACTCCCCAAAATTTTAGAATTTTCATCTATAAATAAACTCCTAATCATTGATTTTGGTCCCCAAAAATTTTAGAATTTTTAAGAAATGTTTCAAAACCTCAAAATCTTAACTCCGACATCTAATGATTAACTTCATTTATATTCACCACGAATGTGATAGTCCAGTTGATTTAAATACAAATATTAATGATGTTGCGCTTTAAATTTGATCTATCCTGAAAGAGATATTTTACGCCATGGATTCTGTGATATCAGTACTCACCAAATCCTCATGATATCAGTATTCGGATCCCATACTAAGAGGATTATGGATTTTGTTTCTAAAATCTCAGATAATCAAAAGAAAAAAAAATCTTTATTCATATTCATTTAAATCGGATGAACCAAGTTAATTTGTAAATGGGTGTAAAACCACTATCTATATGAAATACAGATTAATGACTAAGAAAATTTGTATTAAATCGTGCGCATATGCTGCTAACGCATCCACATATAATCGGCACTAGATCATAACCCGCCCGACTGGGCGGGTCTTTATTTTTATGGTATGTATAAATATTTTAAAAATTATAATCTTACGGTTCCAATTTTACTAAGTAATAGTATATTGCTTAAACATAGTATTTCATCACTGTATTGTGTAACAGGACGTCCGTAAAATGTTGTGTCCCGTAAATATTTTAGTGATATTTTATGAAGTTTTTTCGACTAAATTTGGTGCAAAGTTATATACACTAAACAATTTAGTCAAATTTTTAAGTTTATTTTTTAATGAAGAATTGGAAAGCTAGTATATTACTGTTAAAAACTTATAAGAATACTATTTATAAATTAGATAAATAATATATATATTATTCTTGATATATTCCAAATACATTTAAAACATGAGTACATATATGTATAAATAATTTTCAAAAATAAAGTAATATCAATGATAAAAAACCCAAAAACAATAATAATTGTATTTTGGGCCGCAGTAATTTTTAGGTTAATAAGTAAGCCCATTAGATTTGTAAACTATCCTTGTTTCCAATCATCATATTTTAAATACTTCCTATTCATTTTTCCAAACACTTAATTTTTTGTACTTCAGCTTTAATAGTATAGATTTCTTCAAAGTGTGAATGTAGTTTTACAATCTGGATTTGGTTTACTTCTTCCAAACTTTACAAACGAAGACATTCCATTAAAATAAATAAAACAAGCGAAAACGGTGTCTTCTAACTATACAAAGCAGGATTGGTAAAAAAATACATTCACACACAATTAACCCAAAAAAAAAGAAGAGAATTGCAAATGGCTCCTTTCAAATATGATTCTCTCCACCATGCATTGGATCCATGTTTCCTTAAAACTTTGTCGAAACACTTATAGCATCAACTTCGTTTTCCATGAGTCCATTAACCTCCTCCATCTTCAGTCCACAACCGTAATTACGCGTCTTTTTTTTTTCTTAGCTTAAAAAACTCTTTTGTTTTTTAACTGAATAAAGTTTCTTCTTTAGGCCTGCAAAACAGAAAATATTACACAAACAACTTGATCGTCCATCTTCGATGTATTCAAAGTTGGTTACTCTGGCTCTATTCAAACGTGTTAACGAAATTAATAGTTTATTTTCGGGCAATTCTTTTAAATAATCCTCTTTCAAATTTTTATCACAAAAAATAGACATCAAAAAAATTAAAATAATCAAAATAACACTTTATATTTTTAAAAATTTAAGTTTTTTTTTTTTACTTTTTAAAATTTGAAACCCTATCCCAAAACCCTACTTCTCAACTCTAAACAAAAAAAATTAAAATTATTTAACCCAAGGGATACAAATCTATATTTAATAAAATATTTAAGTGCTATTTTGGTCATTTTTATTTTTAAGTGATATATTTGTGAGATTTTTTTTAGTGTTATTTTAGTCATTTTCTCTTTATTTTCTTGTATTATATAGAATAACAAATCCGACATGGCGTGAAAACAAAATAAAAATTTTTGTTTAGAAATTTAGTGTCAATAAGACAATAAATAAATATATATATATATATATATATATATATATATATATATATATATATATATATTGCAAAAAAACTTATATAACACAAATATAATTGTAACTGTAAATGTTACATATTTTCGATGGTGAAATGATTTTTATACATGTTACATAATGTAGGTTAATCTTTCTATTTTATGCGGAGAGATCCAATAATAAACAATTTCAGTTGACAAACAAAGAACCCATGCACACAATTTTCATAAAATGTGAAAACGGACATAATTAATTAAGAACATCATCAACTTGCTAATTTCGCATTGAAACGTCTACCGTTTTTACGTACGCGGATACGTATGTAGCCAAACATTGAATTATCCTTCTAGAAAAGGTTACTGGTAATAAACGCAACTCAAATGATGGTAAATCATCAACGTCTAACCAAATCAAACTCATAAAGTTAGCAGTTATAATTGGTTTGACGCATTATGGAGGGTTTAGTAAGCAGGACAAGACGGAAAGAGTCAAGTCAATGCATGCGGCCTTTTATCACAAACTCTGCATTAAAATATGGTTTCGTTATTATCAATAGAGCAATATAAAGAGTTGTCTTCTCTCGTTGGCTCCTACTGGAGTAATAAAAAGAGAGTAACAATCGTTCTCAACTAAGTCTGAAGCGTGGTGTTTCTGGATTAATATGAAGATTATCTCCTAGGAGATTCAACTATTTCAGAAGCAAATATGAAGCTTTCACATGGAAATTTTTAGTCATCCATACACTAATAGATGTGTTAGTTTACTTTGGATCCCTACTGGTGTATCCCTTTTCTATATTGTTTTTGTCAATTCTCATTGTGTAAAACTATTTGCCTAAATGGCTTAATAATACAATCCAGCGTTAAAAAAAAAATTATGGTTTCGTATTTATAGGATCTGCATGCATTGGCACTAACTACTGCCATCGATTTTTATATAAGTACAATTTTTGTAGTAGAAAACTATAGAACAAGTGATAAAGTTACACTGCATTAATTGATTTGTACTTTAAAGAATGAACCAATCTACAAACAATGTTTTACGGGGAAACCGAAATAAAATTACTAATAGCCATAATGGAATTCGATTTTGTGGTTTATAAAATATAAAATAATGGAATTCGATTTTCATTCTAATCATACTCTAGAGTAATCGGAAATGCTCTAACTTATCAACAATCAATTTTTATAACAAAACTTAAAATATAATATTTGATACTTTCAAATTCAAGAAAAATATTAAAAATTTATATAACAAAACAAATGGAGTATTTTTTTTACAAACTTCTAACAGTTCTGACTGATGCAATTCTTATCGTTTTGATTGTCAGTTTACATATAAACAATCTAAAAATATATTCAGAACTAAAACTGTATAAAAGAATCACTACTGGTTTAGTTAAATATAATTAAAAGTCTGATATACAATCAACACAACAAAATTCGTTTTTAATGAATTACTAGAAAGGTTTGGATTTAGGCTCCGATTTCTCGTACGTCCAAAATCAATATGTGCTCATACCGTAAGATTACGTAAAACATTTTTCCCCTCGAATTTTGAATTAAAAATATAACAATACCAATGCATGCCCACTAGTAATCAACCACGTCCGGTCGTGAATTTTTTGTTTGTTGACCACTGTGTCCGGTCGCAATGATGATTACTATGTGGTAATGATTATGTGGTAACAAAGCTGCGTTAGCATCCTAATCAATCACCATGACTTGCGTGTCGTTTTTCTAAATCAATGTGGCCTCCGTTGATGCGTGTTACGCACTTGCTCTATATCTGGTAAAGCCACCATATACAATTATACAACTATTTTATTATGTTTCGGCCTCCACGGGGCAACCCTGTTTAGCATAAATGATTATTTTTTTTGTTTCCATATAAATCTATATAACCAAATTTAAAGGTCAAAATAAATAATTTGAATGGAAATGAATAATTCTAAATGATCAATTGATCCAAAATAGCAGTATAAGTTTTCATCAATCAATATTCAGTCAACGTGACAACTACTCAGCATTATAAATGATAAAATGAAATTAGAAAGAACTAATCATTCATCCTTTCATTATAGCGAATATTTGAATTATTATCTAACGTGAGAAACAAATAATAATAAATTTATTTATCTTCTTTTCCTTTGAACAAAAAAACTCAAACATTGCGGTGGGAACGCACGTGCGGGGTTGTTTGCACGTATAGATTTGTGTTTTTCTACATACAAGTTTGAAAAGTCAGCGTTCATAGTCAAACAAGACTGGATTTCGTCAATTTCAAAGCTTTGAATTGCTGACGGTCATACATATTCCTTCGATCGTTCCTCAATTGTATTTTGTACCTTTTGCTTTATCTTTCCTAATCTTCTCTTTTGCAGAAAACGGTAGATTATTTTATTGTACTCATAAAATATCATTTGGACTGCATTTCCATTTGCTTTCTTATCATCAAATATAAAAGCACTCTATACTTTCGTTTGCAAACATACTATTATTTCAGTATAATTAAGTATGGTTTCATGTGTGTTGATTATTTACGTTCCGTTCTGAATCAGTTTTGTTTAAATTAACTGCTGTATCTGTGGCTTAACCCCTTAATTGGGTTAATTTGGAATGAAATTATTTTCTATTTTTTAGAAAGATTTGAACACATATATTGCATATTAGAAATTCCATAAATTAATACTCGATAATTTAATAAATCCTTTAAATTAATAATTTCTTTCAGTTTCGGATTAGACGAATGTAAAATATGTGATAGTTCGATAAGATAATAAAACTTTGAAGAACCTTTGTATAAATATATAGTCTGGATATAAAATTAATAATTAATGTATATAGAATTTATATAAATAATAATATACTGTATAGTTTGTTTTGATTCATAGTGAATATCTTTTTTTTTTTAATATGGTCTTTAAAAATATGGCCGAACCGGTTTAATAATTTCAAGTTTCTGATTAGATTGAGTCGATTCGGTTTTGGTTGATACAAAGATCTTCAGTGGCGACTTAAGGTTGGAATGGAACCGTGTTTCACGACAGTTGAGTTTTTAATTCCGAATTCAAATTGATTTCCCATTTGAAAAGTTGAGCTGTAACCATATACATATATATTTGTATCGAAATCAAATCTATGAATCTCGGCGTTGAGAGATCGATGAGTTCAAGTTGAATATCAGATTCAGAGAAATTAATTGGAGATGATGATCAGAGCGACCCAGAAGACAAGCCAGCATAGTATATTTATTAATGAAAGTTATATAAACAATATTAATGTTTTAATGAATATTGTTATTATCATAAATAAATAAAAATTATGTTTACATATAGATTTTAATAAATCTAATAAAATTAATAAAAATATAGGTGACAATTATATATGTACAATATTATTATTTTAAAAATTAAACAGAATTATAACAAGATCATGAACAAAAATTCTTTTTATAAAAATCTTTTTTTGTCAATAAAGTATTTGTCAACAATTTTTGTTATCAATATCTGTTTTCTAATCCATATCTTTCTCTAACTAAAAATCCAAACAGAATTATAAAGTATATTATTTCAATAAAAATATAAGTTGGTAACTGAAAGTAATATTTTGTGTTAAATTATTTCTAACCTAATCATAAAGACAAGTATTATGTTTTCAGTGAGAAGAAAAAACATAGAAATGGAAATCTATTTAATCATAAGATGTAACAAAAAAAAACAAAGCGGGTGTATGTGAAACTTACGTCCAAATGATAATTTGAGGATTCAGCAGAAGAGTTCAAACATGAAAACAAATGTTCAACTACTACACTGATACTACATTATATGCATTAGATTTTGAATTGATCAAAGTAATTTAGTATAACAAAACGGAATTTTAACCTGATTGGATCCATATATTAACTATAATATATGCATTAGATTTTGAATTGATCAAAGTAATTTAATATAACAAAACGGAATTTAAGCTGATTGAATCCATATACTGATGCTTTGCCCCCACCGTAGAAAACCTTAGACGACAAATATATTAATTAATCACTGTTAAATTAACATGTGGTGTCTAAACAAAATTAGTGTGACAGCCGGAGTGTATTTATTTGATTTTCAGACTGTACAAGTATTTTGGATTTTGACGACATAGCAGTAACGTTAAATAGATTTTATTGCACATAAAATCGTCCTTGAGGTTGCTTGAAAATACTTACGCACCAATTTACATGTATAAGTTAAATTTAATGCAGCGGACTTGCTCGTATATTTAAAATAACCCAAGAAACCAGGGTAACCAAGACTCCTAGTCTCCTATGATGATCCATTAGATCGATCGGGAAACAAACAGTACAGTATTATAAGAGAGGTCTCTTTTGCAAGTGGACACACGTGACAAACACACCATCAATTTGGTTACTGAACAATAAACCAAACACAAGGAAAAAGACAGAAATGAAATAAAATTATCAACAAAATTCCAAATTACTGGTGAAGAGAAGTATCTAAGACTATTTGAAGTTTTGAACATGTGAAAAGAAATTTCATATAGATGAGTTTAACTATGGCTTTTGAACCGAGTTTTCCATGAAAACCTTATCATTAGGAACTTAAGATTTCAGTACTGCAGATTTATTGACCAGAGTAGCACAAATGGTTATTTCTAAATTATACTTTCGATAAACGTCATTAGTGGATAAGTTTTTTTGTGTGTGTGTGTGCAACTGTTCTAAAGTGAAAATGAAGTTGGAAATTAAGAAAACTAGTAGTTTAGTAGAAGATAAAGGCAAAAAGCAAAAAGGGAGATGATATTATTTTGTGTCCATGGGAAATGCATCCCGATTTGTGCAGACATTTTTAAAGTGTCCCATTCAAAATAGCTATGACCCACCTTGTTAGATTTTTGTTTCACCACCAAACACAAAATCTAAGCTAGATTTCAAATTTTCAAGTAAACAAAGATATATTATTGACAACCATCTAATTAAGTACACATTTACAATTTGTAACGTGTAGTTCTCTATTTTTGATACTTTTATCTAATAACAAAGGATTTAACTTGGTTGAAGAGTTATAATATAACAAAGAATTACACATTTAGACCCTGGTTCTATAGACTAACCAAGGGAACAGTTGCTTAACAAACCCGGAACTCAAATTCAAAACCGAGAGACAAAACAAGGGACAAGTTGATAAACAAAGACCAATCAGCACCTTGCTTCCCTAAATCTCATGACGTTATTTTGTTGTTATTTTGACACTTAGACCACCTCCAACGCGGTAACATCACACTGATCCTTAACATTATTTGAATATAATACTAATATTAATGGCAATTTACTTAAGGATTGGTAACGTTAACAAGGATTCACGAGACTGATCCTTACTGACGTGGCATGATGTGGCAGTGGTTGGGGGAGTAAAAAAAAAGTCATTTTCGACAAAGCCTAGAAAAAAAAAAGAGCTCTCGACGATTAAGGCGATTTTGAGACTTGGGATTGAATTAGGGTTTCTTGATTCTGTAATCATGGAGGATGCTGTGTCTTTGGTGGGTCATCGACCTTCGATTGTGAGGATCTCTGTCAAGAACGAAGCGAAAACTCAGAAGCTAGAGCACAGTTCGATTCCGGTGAAAGGGGTTGTTTTTGATAAGATTCAGTGTGTGGGAAAGAAGCCAATCAGGGCACTTGCTATGGAGCTAACGAAAGAGATGCCTGCTTATAGGAAGAAAGACGAGAGGTTGCCAAAGACTTGGAGCTACCTTGATTCTGATTCCATTGATAAACCTGGTTTATGGCCTCCTGAGAACAAAGTCGACAAGCCTTCCTTGCACAATCCTTTGCTAAGGCAANGATTCAGTGTGTGGGAAAGAAGCCAATCAGGGCACTTGCTATGGAGCTAACGAAAGAGATGCCTGCTTATAGGAAGAAAGACGAGAGGTTGCCAAAGACTTGGAGCTACCTTGATTCTGATTCCATTGATAAACCTGGTTTATGGCCTCCTGAGAACAAAGTCGACAAGCCTTCCTTGCACAATCCTTTGCTAAGGCAATAGCGTATGGGTTATGGTTGGTTAGGTGCGATCTTCGAGCTACCTTATTCAGATCTTCTCCTTCCACGTTTTCATTTTATTTACTTATGGTTCCCTGAACTTTGCTCTGTTTTACTAAATTTCCTCTGTTTTACTCTGTTTTAGATATATATATGTATAGTTATTATAACTTCCAGTGACTGACCAGGCTAATAACAACCAGTTCATTTTCGTTTATATAATGCTTTAGAGTCAATTCTGATAGAGATATAGGACTCTGGTGCTGAAAGATTTGATTTTTACTTTATTAGATGGTGTATTATTGTGTGAACAAGATTGCTTGAAGAAATGGGTTTTGTGGTTTGTGTTGGTAATGCATCTCTTGTCTCTGTGTTTTGCAAACCTCATCACGTTGAAGAGAGCACCAGTGATAGGGATGATGATGATGCTAAAGAAGAGAGGTTGTCTTCTTCCTCTTTGTATCCTTTAGAGTCAAGGAGACAAAGCAAGGAGGAGAGTTCTCTAGGGGATATGTTTCAGGACGTGCTGCCTTTTAGTCCTTCAAGTGGCCAACTTGTTGGGTTTGGTCGTGCATATTCTGACTATTCTCACAAATAGAGACATCTATGACATAGCGCTCTCTGCTTCAAGCATGAAAGGTAATCCCTTTACTTAAAGAACTACTCTTCAAAGTCTTTGTTTGTTATGTTTGCAGGAAGAAAAGAGTGCTTGCGTCCTCATCAAACTCTCCTGCTACACATCGGTATCAGACACAGACGAATTGTACATCCCCTTCATAGACATGATCACGTTTTGGCCTCATTAAGATTGTGCCAAGGACAAGACCTTACCTTCTTCTCCATAAGTATGTCGTGAAAAGCTTGCCACAACCAACACAAACTCACTGGCTCAAGCTTCTCCTTAACAACAAATCTGAGGTAAGCTTTATCTTCTACTTTGTAGTCATAGCATCAAATTTTATTTTCTCTAAGGACTCCAAAATAGAGTACACCATTAGACTAACTTTTTTGAATAGAATCCTTAACTATTCAAACAAAAAATTAAAAACAAAAAGAATAGTTTAATAATGCTTAAGGACTCCAATGGTAGTAACACCATTGGAGATGCTCTTAAGCCTCTATAGTGTGGATAAAACGCACGTGTTTTAATTCACGAACCTTCGTAGCACTGAAAAATCCACAACTTCCTTATTTTTCTATCAGCTTTTTAATCTCCCACTACAATTCAAAACTGAATAAACATGATAAAGACTTAAAGGGGTTCATGAACCTTATCCACTATATAAACCCCTTCATCGTCTTCCCACAGAGAAAAAAAAATTTAGACATTTGATAATTCAATTATATTTTAAAAAAAAGAAAAAAAAAGGTTCAGTTAGTTCTGTAATAATGTACGGACAGGGAGAGATAATGGCGGCAGCAGAATCCGATTACGATTTGTTGGAGTCGATACGACGTCACTTGCTAGGAGGAGAGAGCGAGTTGCCGTTGAAAGAGAATGATTCCGAGGATATGTTAGTGTACAGTGTCCTCGACGACGCCTTCAACGGAGCTTGTGAAACGTCGTCGGATTTGAGCTGTTGTCTCAGCGACTTTAACGATTTTCCGGCGGTTAAAATCGAACACTCGGAGAATTACTCAGCCGTGGCGGAGAAAAAGAAGGCGGTGAAGGTGAAGCAGAGTATAGGAGATCTCAGACAAATAATCTGAAGTTTACGATTTCATTAACTTAGCTTTCTTACAACCCTTAGGTTCATTATTTATACAATGACATAAGATGAATCTAGAGACCTGACAGCTAGCCCTGACAGCTCACTCTTCGTGATCCAATAACGTGGTAAAGCGGTTGCTGAGGAATCCTTGACCAGCCGATGAGACCACTCCTTTGTCGTATCTCTCTCCTCTGTTTTGTCTTGATGTTACCGTTAGAGAGTGAGCTGAGTTGGCAGTGGGCTTGCTAACAGGCTTCATGTCCGTATGGGCTTGTTGTGTTGAAGAGAAAGGTCCACTGGGTCTAATACTCCCGCGCAAACTCGAGGTAGGTGGAATCATAACTCCGAGTTTGGAACGAAGACTGAAGTAGTTCTGTTGAGGCAGAGATTTTGTAAACACATCTGCCAGTTGATGAGCTGCTGGTATATGTTTCACCACAAGCGTTCCATTGGCAACTTTCTCTCTGGCATAATGGTAGTGAGTTGCAAAATGCTTGGACTTCCGATGAAGAACCGGATTGGCAGTGAGATGAACTGCAGAGAGATTATCACAATAGATCTCTGCTGGTCCATTTTGCTGAGCTCCTATACTCTTCAACATTTTGCTTATCCACTCTATCTCAGCAGCAGTATCAGACAGCGTTCTATACTCAGCCTCAGTTGATGATCTTGCAACAGAATCTTGTCTCTTTGCAGACCATGATATGAGGTTAGACCCAAGGAATGTGCAAAACCCTCCTGTGGACCGTCTAGTGTCTTGACATCCAGCCCAGTCGCTGTCACAGTATGCACGCAGTCTCGAGTCAGAATCTGATTCTAGTTGTACTCCCATCTCAAGTGTACCTTTGAGGTATCTCATGATGCGTTTAAGCAAGTTGAAGTCTGAGACTGAAGGTAGGTGCATCTTTTGACACACAATGTTGACAGCAAACTGAATATCAGGCCTAGTCAATGTGAGGTATTGAAGTTTACCTGCAAGACTTCTGAAATATGTTGGATTGCTAAACGCTTCTTCTTGGTGAGGAACTCTATCCAATTGAAGTGGCAAAGGAGTGGGCATTGGAGCACAGTCCAACATACCAGCCGCTTGCAGTAGATCCATTGCATATTTTGCTTGGTTCAGAAACAGCCCTGTTGGAGTAAACTGAGCTTGAATCCCAAGAAAATAACTCAATGGTCCCATATCTTTCATTCGAAATTGTTTCTTCAAAGACTGGAGCAACTGTTGAAGTAAAGTCTTGTTGTTACCAGTGATTAACATGTCGTCCACATACAAAAGAAGGAACATAACATCTTTTTCTTTCTGGTACACAAACAGGGAAGGATCTCCAGTGTTGCAGAGAAAGCCAAACTCTATTAAATAAGAGCTGAACTTGTCAAACCAAGCCCTTGGTGCTTGTTTGAGACCGTATATAGCTTTTCTCAGAAGACAAACATGATCTGGATACTGTTTATCTTCAAACCCCGGAGGTTGTTTCATATACACAGTCTCAGACAAATCTCCATGAAGAAAGGCGTTCTTTACGTCCAACTGTTTTATATCCCATCTTTCTGTTACAGCAAAATGAAGTACCATTCTCACAGTAGCTGTCCTAACAACAGGGCTGTATGTCTCCAAAAAATTTACACCCTCTTCTTGCTCATTTCCTCTTGCCACCAGACGTGATCTCAGTTTCAGAAATGAACCATCAGCATTCAGTTTCACTTTGTGAATCCAGCCACAACCAATAGGCTTTACATTCTGTGGTGGTGGAACAAGACTCCATGTTTCTGTCTCATCACACATGTCTTTTTCTTCTTGCATAGAGGCAGTCCAACCAGGATGATTTAACGCTTCACGAACTGTTCTTGGAACTTGAGGAATTCCTTTCACAGCGAGTAGAGCATAACGTGGGTTTGGCTTAATGACTCCTGCCTTTGCTCTTGTTGTCATGCGATGATTGTTTTCAACAACTTGAGCAGGTTGTGTTGCAGATACCTCTTGTTCAGACTCATTACCAGACAAGGAGGAGCTGGAGGAGCTTGAAGGAAAGACATCTTGGTGATGATCAGCAGCAACTGGAGAAGACGCATTAGTCACTGTTGGAACAGATGGCTTCTTAGAATTTACTCTGATTATTTCTTCATCTTGAGTTAGATGATCATCACACTCTGGTTGACGCAGAGCTGGTTGTTGAAGCCTCCATGCCTTGCTTAAGGAAGTTGTTGGCTCAGGAACAAGACTGCGGTATACATCTTTGTAAGGCAGTCGGTATTCATCAAACAGGACATGGCGGTTGATGTAGACCCGACCTGTTGGTGGATGATAACACCTGTATCCCTTGTAACGCTCATTGTAGCCAAGAAAGACACATAACAATGACTTCGGATCAAACTTGTTTTCAGCATAAGGTCTCAGGTATGGGTAACAGGCACACCCAAAAGCACGAAGAGCAGTATAGACAGGAGGTTTACCATTTAAAATCTCAAAGGGACTTATCATCTTGTCGTTCACAGAAGTAGGAAGTAAATTGCTGAGGAATGCTGCAGTGTAAAGAGCTTCCACCCATAGCTTCTGCGGCAAGAAACTCTGAAACAACATTGACAAACCTAGTTCCGTAATGTAACGGTGTCTTCTTTCCGCTATTCCATTCTGCTCCGGGGTATGAGGGCAGGAGACTAGGTGTTTAATGCCACAAGACTGAAAATGATCCATCATCTTTGTATTAACAAATTCACCTCCACCGTCTGATTGAAAAACTGCTATCTTTGTTTGGTATTGGTTCTCTACTTGAAGTTGGAAAGCTTTGAAGACAGAGAACACATCAGATTTCGATTTGAGAGGATAGAACCAGCAAAATCTTGAGCAGTTATCAATGAATACAACGTAATATCGAAAACCCTGAGCTGAAACAACAGGTGCAGGACCCCATACATCACAGTGTATTCTCTCAAGTACTCTGGTTGAACGGAAATCAGAATTAAAAAACGGTAATCTACATGTCTTTCCTAGTTGACATGCTTCACACAGTGACTTAGTAGTCTTATTCAAATAAATAGCATTGATTGTTGATAGATGTTGAAGAACTTGATCGTTGGGATGTCCTAGTCTCTTGTGCCACACCACATCACTCGTTCTCTGCTGTCTTGAAGAGTAGAATGACAGAAACTGAGGATCATCTAGCCGATACAGTCCTTTAGTTTTGTTTCCCCGAGTGAGAACCTGACTGGTGACCTTGTCCTTAACATATACAGCAGTAGCGTCAAATGTAAACTCACACGGAAAGTCATCAGTCAACTTAGACACAGACAGTAATGATTTTGTTATGTCAGGACAAACAAGAACATCTAATAGTGGTAAGTTACCTGTTGCAGTAGCAATAGAGGCAGCACCAACATGAGTTATCAGAAGATAATCTCCATTCCCCACTATGACCTGGTCACTGCCATCATACGCATGAGCTGTATCAAGATGCTGAGTTGTGTTGGTCACATGAGCAGTGGAGCCGCTATCAGGATACCACTCAGCTCCAGTCTGTCTGTTGTCTGAAGTTGTGTTCAAAACATTTGCCTGATGAGGATCCTGTCCATTAAAGTGCTCATCAAAGCGGTAATGACACTTATAAGCAGGATGGCCATATTTGCCACAGATTTGGCAAGTTGGTTTTGAAGCATTCTGTGCAGATCCACGACCTTGGTGAGCACCTTGACCAAACTGCTGAGGAAAGCCTCGTCCTTGGGTGGTGTATGAACCTCGACCACGGTAGCTTCCTCTGTATTGTCCTCTTCCTCTGTAGCCACCACGATTCATGTAGTAAGCTTGATGTGGTGATGGTTCAGCAGAGGTTTCATAAGTACGAATCTTGTCTTCAAAACCAGTGAGTTTATGAGCAACATCATCAAAACATGGACCTGGTAAAATATCCATTGAATGCTCAATAATGGCACACACAGCTTCATACTCTTTGCCAAGTCCATTAAGGACACCGTAAATCTTCTCGTGTTCGGTAATAGGTGCTCCAATGGAGTCAAGTTGATCACAAAGAGATTTTATCTCAGCAAGATACACTGACATCGTCTTGTTTCCTTTTGTGGTAGTTTGAACTTTTCTTTGCAGATCTAGACGACGTGTGGCAGATACACGGTTGTATTTCTTAGCCAGAGCCAACCACACTTCCTGAGACGTGTGGAGACCATAAACAGACTTGAGAGCATCTTCTGAAAGGGTTCCGTACAACCACGCTAGAATAAGCTGATCTTTCTGCATCCACTTTGTGTACTCTGGATTGACAGCATCATTAGCTTCATCTCCTTGTCGAACCACAATCGTAGGAGGGGGTCGCAGTGTAGCTCCGGTGAGATGTCCAAGGAGCATCTGACTGGAAATGAACTGTTCGAACTGTAGTTTCCATAGAAGATAGTTGCCGTCTTTGAGTTTTAGGTTTACGGCTTGAGTAATAGTTAATGGAGCCACCGTAAACGCTTCTTGATTCTCATCCATGATCTACTTCCAGAGCTCTGATACCATGAAGGTGAAGCAGAGTATAGGAGATCTCAGACAAATAATCTGAAGTTTACGATTTCATTAACTTAGCTTTCTTACAACCCTTAGGTTCATTATTTATACAATGACATAAGATGAATCTAGAGACCTGACAGCTAGCCCTGACAGCTCACTCTTCGTGATCCAATAACGTGGTAAAGCGGTTGCTGAGGAATCCTTGACCAGCCGATGAGACCACTCCTTTGTCGTATCTCTCTCCTCTGTTTTGTCTTGATGTTACCGTTAGAGAGTGAGCTGAGTTGGCAGTGGGCTTGCTAACAGGCTTCATGTCCGTATGGGCTTGTTGTGTTGAAGAGAAAGGTCCACTGGGTCTAATAGGCGGTTCCAGTAAAAGGAAAGCATTATAGAGGGGTGAGAGAGAGGCCGTGGGGGAAATTCGCGGCGGAGATACGTGATCCGGCGAAGAAGGGAGCGAGGGTATGGTTAGGGACGTTTGAGACGGGGGAAGATGCAGCTTTGGCTTATGATAGGGCTGCTTTTAGGATGCGTGGTTCCCGCGCTTTGTTGAATTTTCCGTTGAGGGTTAATTCAGGTGAGCCCGACCCGGTAAGGATAAAGTCTAGGAGATCTTTTACGTCCTCTTCTGAAAACGGGAAGACGAAGCGGAGGAGGGAAACAGAAATGGTCTCCTCGGAGTTGGAGGTGAAGTGCGAGGTTGCTTAAGAGACACGTGTCAGTTACTTGTTGGTGTCGTTAGTTTAATGTGCGTTATCTGATGAATTTCATTTGTTTTTTTGGTCTTTTTTACTGAACTAAACAGAGCCATTTCTATTGTTAGATTCTTTTAGATAAGAATTATTGCATGATTTTCAATAGATTTCTAACCTGGAAAAAGACTAAAAGTTTGTTTTCTATGTTTCAGTTATATATCTACTAAAGACCGAGACATCTCATTTAAATAGTATACTAGAGTCGTTATAATACAAATCAAATATGTGGTGGTAGCTGTGTGTGTTTCAGCTGTTAAAAACTGAATCCTTAGCTGACTAATACACCATGATTCGAGTTCGTAGTTCCTCATCTAAATTAATTTTGAGAACCTTAAACTTAACTTACCTAACATGCATATGTATCAACTTCAGTTAAAATACTCTGGCCGGTTTGAATCTGCAAAGTAACACAATGATGATGAAAACTAGTGCTTGCTATAACTAATCTATAGGGGAAAAACACTTGCTCGTTAGGCTTTTATAAGATCATATGCTATAGTGAAAATATGAGATGATAGACACTTTCATAAGAAGACTTATCAAATCTTTCCAATGCTGGTTCCTCATAAAAAGACACAAAGAGAGGATTTCATACCCAATCTTTCGATTCATCTCTTTATTTGGGTAAATGTTTAAAAATAAGAGTTATATTTCAGGGGTTGTGGTGTTCATGATTCTGATTCCCTAGTATACAAAAATCATTTCAAAATTCTTATACAATAAAATATGAACCTAAAATACGAATTGATGTAAATCTTATACTATAAAGAAGAGTTTTCTCTCATTTCAGCTTGCCATGTCACTAATTAGTGAATGGAGAAGCCAACACGTGTCCAACTATTGTTTTTGTATTTTGTTAACAGGCTTCCACGAAACTTTTTTTGTGTGTGTTTTAAATTGGGTTTGCACTAAACTTTTAAATCTGTAGGTTATGTAAATTGGTATTTGGGACGATATCCTAATGCTTGGCCCGTCTTGCCTATGTCTCCTTCCTAATTAACATTTTAGGGTTCCTAGGCGCATCCAAGATCTGCTTCCGTAAACCAACAATGGTGGTCTGAATTTGCATGTGCGTCGAGGCGTCGTCTTGATCTCCAAATCGGTCTCTGTTCATGACGTTTCAGTCTCTACTCATCACCTTGGAATCGTTACAAATCGAATTGAATGAACGTCATTAATCTAAACTTCACTCTTCAAGCCCACTACAACCATTTGCATTCAATGATTCTTATCTTTTATCCAGGCGATGACTCTCACTTATAAAACGGTAATTCATCCCATTCACTCATTGTCTCTGTATTAACTTTTTCGTTTCATGAACCTGCTCTTGAGTTTTAATACTTACATGAATCTCAGGTGATTCCACACGCAGAACAATTATTTCCAAGAGTGAAACAAAAATGTTCCACGAAGCCTTGGTTTTTTGCAGAAAATATCAAACTGTTTGGAGGAGTTGATTGGTTAAAACGTTTAGAAGGGAATGTAGGTACATTGCGAATTACTGCAATTCAAGACATGGTGGGGATAACAACCCTGAAGATGACATGAAACATGTGCTCCTTTTGAGAGCCCTCTAGGTGAACCCAACTCAATTACCAAGCATTCCCTTCCACCTGATGATAATACGTTTGGACCAACATAGTCGGTGCAGCCAACTTTAGTCACTACAGAGCAGACTGCCGCTGGTGATTATCCTTCTGATATACAAGGTTAAGCAATAAGCAACCCAAACAAGAAGGCCTACAAAGCTTAGTATTATCAGTGAAGCACTATCAAGAAACCACCACCCACTCTTTCCACCATGCTTAATCTAGATTTCTCACTTTATGCCTATGCAAATAAAGGTTTTTGGATACTTTGTCCACCATTATCTTTAAATGCGTTTGTTGCAATTCTGGTTCTGTAACTTTCTCAATCCTTTGATATTTAAAAAAAAAAATATAAATTGTTATTAGATTCTACAGATTCTCTTAATAATGTCCACTTTTAAAAATTTAAAAATTTGCTATTTATCAATCTACCTTATTTGTTCAATCTTAGTGGTTAACGTCACCACCACCGGAAGCAAAACAACTACTGTGAGGTAATCCCATATGGAGTGAGGTCACTGAACACTACGTGCCAATATCCCACTTAAAATTTTTACTTTTCAAACCAACAACACTCTTTATATATTTCCTCAGAAAAATAGTGTTGTCACAATCTCAAACTAAAAAACTCAATTTTAGACTATAGAAGCACTCAAGAATGGTATATGCACTAACTCAAAACCTCCCGTTAGTGGAGATCCTTACTTCGATGAGCATAACCTCCAGATCGAAAAATGCACATCTTAGAGACGAGGTTTTGATACAGAAGTTAATACTCACGCTGCCCTAACTAGAAAAATACAAACCAATGAAAAAGCCTTATTTCACGTTACAAAAAACCTCAAACACGAGTCACACAGCCAGGCACAAAGCATACTACATATTCCAAACTTCATATGGTCCAACCAAACTTACTCACTACCAAATACACCAATTTTTTAATTTCTATATAAATAAAATTTAGACCTTTATACTTCAGACTTCAGAACAAAAACTGATCAAACCCATAAAACGTATAAATTTAGGATCTCTCCATAGAACACATACTCTTAAAGTAAATCTGATATATAGTAAAACTAGCTTAAACTGTTCTTTTGAGTACTACACTTCCAATCACTAACACACGCCACAGCCAGCATTTTCTTCCAAAATATAGTAAAAGAAATAATAATTTGTAGGTTTTACTACTATGGTAATGAAAATCTAAATAGTTTTTTGTATTTCTGGTTTAACAAACATTTTAGTGGTTTTAGAAAATTAATTATCTGTTTGTGGAAGAAGAAAAAAACCTAATTTATTCCAAATTAAATTTCATGTCTTTTTTAAAAATATATTTTTTTACTATGGATCCTCCAAATCTTCACAATAAAACATCTTGGTATGTGATCTATTTAGCAATCAAACTGGCGAATGGAACATATATACCATTATGAATCTCTTCCTTCAAAACATGCTAACATGTGCTTAAAAGTAAAGACCAAGGAAAAATAGTCTAGATGGCTGATGTTTGGACTACCAAACCTTCACCAAAATTGACAGTTTTTTTTTTGAACAATATGCTAAGTCTACGGCTAGCAAGAACCTCAAAAAGAGTCATATACATTAATTTGCAGCTACTAATACTTTTATAATAATAATAAATAATAATAATAATAATATTAAAATACCATAACTCTTTAATATAGAAACAACTATTTAACATACAAATATATATTATCACATATGATCCCTCCATATCTAAAACTTTACAAAATATAAAAATCATTATCCTACACATCTCTTGCAGATGCAAACTTGCAACACAAACCACAATGCAAAAAAAAAATAGTAACCGAGATAACAAATAAAGTATCCTACACATTTCTTGCACATACAAACCTGAAACATAAATCACAATACAAAAAATAGTAACCGAAATCACAAATAAAATATATCCCGCCCGTAGAGCGGACCTGCCCTAGTATTTTTTTAAGAAAATAGAATTCGACTGATTATAGTTTAGCCCATTTATTTATAAACTATAACCCTAAACACTAAACAGAACCCATCATATATTGATCGGGCCAAGGCCCAAACTCTGTATTTAGCATCTCTAGGTTTTAATCGATAGTCGCATAATCTCAATACCTTGAGCCGCATCTTGCTAGGGTTTTACATTTCGTAAGCTTCGTCCACTCTCCTTCGACATCTGAGCCAACTGTTGTCCGAATCCTCTCTTCGATCTTTGATTCAGATTTCAACATGGAGTCGTGTAGTCAATAAGGTTTTTCCCTCTCGAAAAATCCGTAAAGCTCTCGTATTTGATTCGCTTTCACCGGACCTGAGATGGCGACTGTGAACCCGTTTGATCTCTTGGGAGTTGACGCTGAGGATCCGAGCCAGATTGTTGTGGCTTTGCCCAAGAAGGTCGAGACAGCTGCTCCTGTGTTGCCTGCTAAGGCAGCTAAGTCTCAGACCAAACAGGCTCCTCCTTCTCAATCTGGTAAGATGTTATCTGGTTTGTGTAGATAGTGAACAGGTTCAGTGTTTAGAAATGTTGATTGGTTCATTTAAGTGGAATCTTATTGAAAAATGTATGCTTTTGTTTTGTCCGAGTTTTTGTTTTTTACTGTGTCTTACGTGTTTCTCTTGTGTGAGTATGTCTGCATAATCTTTTGTAGTAGGCCTAAGCTTAACTAAGGAGCTTTGTGTCTGAAAAGTACTTCTTTTTTTTTTAATCTTTGATGCGTACTCATTTTGAAATATACATCAGAAGGTTTTCATTTGCATTGATGTCTTAATAATTGCTGGAATAAAATGTGTATGACTTTTATCTTTGTTAAATGTAGTGAGGGAGTCAAGGAATACTCCTTCAGGAAGTCGTGGTGGAACTGGCGGTCGTGGGGCTCCTCGTGGTTCATTTAACCCGGGTGGAAACAGACCTTATGATCCGAAAGATGGACCAAAGGATGGGGAAAGAAATGGTGGGTTCCGTGGATACCGCGAAAGTGGTGGTCGCGGAGGTCACGCTGGTGGATTTGCCAATGGTAAGACAGGTGATGTGGAACGCCCAAAGAGGGTCTACGACCGCCGTAGCGCAACAGGTCGTAGGTAAACTTTATTTTCAAGTCGCTTACTATATTTACTGCTATTTTGACTGCTACTGTTTGTGATTTTTTGTTTTGTTTTGACTTGATGTTTTGCTAGTAATGACCTGAAACGAGAGGGTGGTGGTCGTGGAAACTGGGGTACTCCTGAAGATGATATCCCACCGTAAGAATCTTGCTCTTCAGTTTGATCTTACTGCTATTTTATTTCAATTTTTTGTACATTGTCTTGTGCGTGTAGACCGAATTAAAAACTCTTATATGTTTGTTTAAATATTAGACCAACCGAGGAGCCCACAACAGAGGTTGAGAAGAGCCCTGTTACTGAGAAGGAAGGTGGTGAGGATGACACCACTGATGCAAAGAGAGACGCTCCTGCGGATGAGCAAGAGGAGAAAGAACCTGAAAACAAGGTATAAACATCTTTGGCTACTAATATATTCTTAAACATGTTATATGAGATGAGGAATGTTCAAAGTGTTAGTCTCAAGGAAGTATGTATACTAATTATAAATGAATAAATGGGTTTTGTTATAGGAGATGACATTGGAAGAGTATGAGAAAATTCTGGAGGAGAAGAAGAAAGCTCTGCAAGCCACAAAGGTTGAGGAAAGGAAAGTTGACACCAAAGTGTTTGAGTCTATGCAACAGCTCTCTAACAAGAAGGCCAACAATGAGGAAATCTTCATCAAGCTGGTGAGAATCTGATTTTTCTTTTTTCATCTCTATTTCTATGACAATAATAGAGCAAAAGTTGATTCTTGTTTTGTTTTTGTTTCAGGGATCCGACAAGGACAAACGCAAAGATGCTTCTGAGAAAGAAGAGAAGGCCAAGAAGGTCTTGTTTCCTTTTCCTACCATCCATAATGCATGTCATTCGGGTTTTAACATTTTTTGTGCTGAAACTATTCTTGTTTTGTGTGTGATTTTGTAGTCGTTGAGCATTAACGAGTTTTTGAAGCCGGCTGGTGGAGAGAGGTACAACCCAAGAGGTGGGTACCGTGGAAGAGGAGGTCGTGGACAGAGAGATGGAGGAGGTCGCGATGGTCGTGAACAGAGAGATGGAGGAAACCAAAGGCATGGTGGAGCACCTGCTCCGGCGATCGGAGACAGTGCTCAATTCCCATCGTTGGGCAAGTAGACCCCTGTTGGTCCTTGAGCCTCTATCTATCTCTTTACTCTTTTTTTAGTTTGATTTTTGTTCTTAGTTCTGTCATTTTTGTTACACTTTCTCTACAAAACAAGTTTGGAGACTTTGAAGTTATGATGGATCTGAACTCGTTAGTTTCAAATTCTGTTATTAGGGACATAATTACAATCATCTAAAGTGAAATGTTTATTGGAAATGCAACATAAGGCCAACATCATCGATCTTGAGCTCAACCTTAATTGATTCCAATTTTTAAAAGCATTTTCTTAACAGGAAGTATCGAGTTTCTCATACCATTTTGAGAACATTTTTAAACAGATTATCTCAAATTTATTAATAGTATGATCTCAAATTTGGAAGAATACTATTTACAACCTCATTTTAGTGTTACATTTTTACTGATCTTTACACTTTTATATGATATTGTTTTTTATTTAAAAAGATTTAATATTTGAGTGTTTATACTTTAAAAAAATTATTAAAACTTTTATATTACAATCCTATGTTTATATAAATTAATTCTTACAGAAACTAAATTTAATTATAAAATAAAATATGGTTAAAATAAAATTAATTTTTTGGAAAAGATTTGTGTGTTTTTAATATAACAAGTATTAGTTTTGTAGAGAAAAAAATGAAGCAAATTATAGAGGCTTTCTTCTATCTTTTCTAATTTCTTACTTTTTCATTTTTTCACTAATACACATGCTCTAATATTGTTACGATAATGTACTTAGAATCAGGTTCAAGAGTGGAGAATTAAGAAAAGGCTTGTCTGCTTTATTTGCATAAATGGTCTTCCACTATAGAGTTTATGGGTTTCAAACTTCGAAATACATCAGAAAAAGAAGAAAAAACTAAAAAAACGAAAGAAAAAGAAAGTTGTCAATTTGAGAAGTCTTACATGCAATGCAAACAAATGATTATAAGGGAGTGTTATGATCCAAAGAGACTTATGGGACTATAGTGAAATCAAGATGAGCAACAGCCTGATTGCTGGTTCACTGGCTGTCCGCGAATCTGGACCGTCGGTGGCTTGGCACCTCCAGCTGGTTGGCTGGCCATTCTGCAAACAGAAACAACAAAAACCGTTCAAGTATGGAAGAGAGAAACGGTTTGACTTTCAAGGAACAAAAGTAGAAACTAATTACAGACCTGGTCTTGATTGCAGCAGTCATGGCCATGAACGCTTCTTCAACATTGGTTGCATTTTTAGCACTTGTTTCCAAGAAAGGGATCCCCAGTTCATCTGCAAAAGCCTGTAGAAGGAGGAGAAAACAATCTTCTTATTATCATTTCATCAAGGTTTATGCAAAAGCAGCCACTTGGTTTTGTTTTATTACCTGAGCTGTCTCAGTGGATACAACCTTCTGTGAAGTGAGATCGTTTTTGTTTCCAACCAGTAGCTTGTTCACATTCTCACTGGCGTAACGGTCGATTTCATTCAGCCACTGCTTGACGTTGTTGAAGCTCTCTTGGTCCGTGACGTCATAGGTAACCTGCGAAGAAAAGCCAATGATGATGAGGAAGAACCAAAGGATGGATGTATAAACGAAAACATTATTGCTTTGTGAGAGAGAGAGAGAGCACATACAATGATCCCATGAGCTCCTCTGTAGTAGCTACTGGTGATAGTCCTGAAACGTTCTTGGCCTGCTGTGTCCCACTGTATACACGGTCATTGCCACGAGCTATATTATATGCCTTTTCCAAATTTTAATTAAAGCTGTTATCAAGAACACTTACGATCTGGAGTTTGATTGTCTTTCCGTCCTGTTCAACTGTGCGGATTTTCTGAAACACATCATTAGTCAAAATTAATACTTATTCAGTTTATGCATGGCAACAAGGATGTGAAGAGTAAGCTTACAAAGTCAACACCAATGGTACTGATGTAGCTATCCAGGTAAGAATCATCCTGTACACATAAATTCGTGATATCGAATTATAAGCACACAAAGAGTTACAACGATTAGAGAAAACTAAGCGCCACTGAACTGACTAGTAATTTTTGAGAATCAAGTATTAAACTTCAAAAACGAATAGATTGTTGCTTGTGTGCAATGTTAAAAGGCAATTACCAAAGATAACACACAAGAGAGTAACAACGATACCATAGTGTAAACTGAGAACTAAGGAGCCATTGAACTGACTAGTGATTTTTTTCAGAAACAAGTAGTAAACTTCAAAGACTCGTAGATTGTTACTTGCGTTCAATGTTAAAAGGCAATTACAGAAAGATAATACACAAAGAGTAACAATAATAGCATAGTGTAAACTGTGAACTAAGTGGCCATTGAACTGACTAGTAAAATTTTGGAGAAACAAGTAATAAACTTCAAAGACCCATAGATTGTTACTTGTGTGCAATGTTAAAAGAGGCAATAACCAAGGATACGACATGTTAAACAATTATAAAGGTGGAGAAAGGAAGTAAAGCTTTACTTACAGCAAACCTTAGAAGCAAGCAGGATTTTCCAACACCAGAATCACCAATAAGCAAAAGCTTGAACAGGTAGTCACTGCAAATAAAACAATAAAACGGATTAAGACAGAACGATAACAACATTAAGACAATCTAAGACTTAAAAGGATGCCTTTTTTATTTATTTGCCATGTTACAGTGTATGTCTAAAATTGAAAAACAATTAATCTGAAAGATATGTAGATTAAATTTGTTCGCATAAATCGAAACCATGAATCCTCTATGCGAGAATAATATCAAAAGGTGACACAGCCTCGAATTGCAACTACAGAAATTGCGGATCTCATCAGTCAAATTCCCCTAGATCCAATCTATGTAAGATCCTAATCAATAATCGATCTTATACAAAGAGAGAGATGCAACTCAGAAACCTACATACCAACAACGATCCAAAGCAAACATCGAAACGATTCAAACACATCAAAAAGAACAAAAAGCGGGTAAATCGATCCAAATCATTATAGATGCAATCAAAATCACGAGAAGAGAAGAGTCTTACTATTCAGGATTCATGGCTATATCTCCTAACGAATCAAACGAGAATCAGGAGGTAAACGGATAATCCGGCGATAGTAATTTCAGCGATCGTCGTCGGAACAGAGACGAGAGAAAGAGAGAGACCTAAACGATGAATGTTTTTTTGCTATTTATTTTATCTTTTTGTCCTCTTTGGCTTTAACTTATTAACTTGATCTCTCTGCCTCTTTTTTTTTTGTCACGTAATAAGAAATAAAAAAGTGGGACCCATGCTTTCGTGGAAAATTATAAATGCGTTTGCTTTTGATGTTTGAATGCTGACTTGGCAAAAAAATAATCAAATCAATCAATCTTTTCTTCTCCTTTTGACACTTTTTTTTTCTTGAGAAAATAGTTTTTTTAGACCAAAACCATTAGGAAGTTGTCCTTTTAGTCTAATCTCATTTAGTTATTGTCCCATTAGGTTAAGTTTTTTTTTAAATGGCAATAATACCCTTAGAACAGTTTAATAATTCGTAATTATAATTAGAAAATAATAATAAAATTATTATTTTTGATTAAAAATTTGTATTAGAAATTAAAAAAAAATTAAATAAATTACAAAAATTAAAAAATTAAAAACTATATATTTTCGATTTGATCATAAAGTATATTCGAAATTAAAAAAAAAAATAAAACTTAATAATTCGTAATTATAATTAGAAAATAATAAGAAAATTATTATTTTTGATTAAAAATTTGTATTAGAAATTAAAAAAATAAAATAAATTAAAAAAATTAAAAACAATATATTTTCGATTTGATCATAAAGTATATTCGAAATTAAAAAAAAAATTAAAACTTAAAAAAATAAAATAATATATTTTGATTTAATTAAAAAGTATATTTGAATATAAAATAAAAATTAAAAAATTAAAAAACCCCATATTTAAAAAAAATGGAGTTTTAAATATGGTAATAGAATATTCTCTAAGATATTCTTGCTATATTTTCGGATCTAATAATATTTATCCGTAGAATTCAGATTCTACTAAACGTAGAACTGTGTAAAAAGATATGAAATCAGTTTCTACGTGTATTAGAACGTTGTGGGAATTTAGATTCTGACTTCTACTTGTCTTAGATTTAAGTACGAATTTAGATTTCAACTTCTACTCTTTTTAGAACTATATGATAAGCGTGGAATGTGTATTCCAAACTATTTTAGATTCATGTTATCCCCGTAGAAAACATATTCTGCAATTCGTAGAAATAGTGAAAAAAGTAGATTCCGTATTCTAATCCGTAGAATACATATTCTAATTTCGGTAGAATAGATATATGAAATTATTATTTACATATTTTTAAAAAAAGAAAAAAATATCACTATATAGATATAGAGATTTCATCATTATGTACTATTTTTTTAAAAAAAATTGCTTCATATATCTATTTTTTTTAATAATTTCGAAAATACATAAAGGGCATTAAAGTCAAAATTGGTACAAAATATAATTTAGTCTAAAGGGACAATATCCAAACCTATTTGGTCTAAAAAAACAGTTTCCCCTTTTTTCTTTCTATTTGATTCTTCTATCTATACACTCGGGTAGGAAAACTAAAGTTTAGGAGGAGATTAAAGTTTCGAATCTGATCAACCTTACTTTTAAGATATTGATTACCATGCTTTTTGGAAGAAATAAATTTTAATGAGAGTGTATATTCGTTGTACAAAAAAATATAGACAAAGAATGATGATATCACATTTGATTGTTATTTTTTGGTGATAAATTTTAATATTTAGCTTATCATCGCTTGTCGTGTAAGTCAATGATAGCCCGAACATGTAGACGACTTAAATAAACTAAAATCTCTTTAATTATTTCATTTATGTTTAAGATGAATTACAGCCTCTCATCTATAGGCCTACTCTCATCATTCATGTAAAACTGCGTAACTCCACAAACTCAAGAATGTTTGGCACCATAAATTATAGCCTTCACCACATGTTCATGCAACTTACAAGACAGGCAGGTAATGAAGTGGATTTTTATAATGAGTTGCTAAACAAAAATGATGTTGTTCTTGAATCGATGTTGTATAATAAATGACACGTACTTTTAGTGATCATTTGTACACATCTTTCTGAGATAAACGAATAAGTTTTTTTTGCCAAAAAAAAAAACAAAATTAGTATATAGCTCATGCAGACTCCACAACTACAAAAACATTTAAACAGACGGAAGGCTCAAACAGATTATGCAATCATTTGAATTTTAAGTTTGATTAGTAATACTCTTTCGCATGTATACATCAATAACTAGGTGTTTTGCCCGCACATTCGGGCTTAATTATCTTTAAATCAATTTAAAAAAATATCAAAATAAATGATTATTTGCCTCCAAAAAAGTCGATCTTACAGAAAAAATAATATTAGTTTGGATAACTATACAATATATTTGAATTTATTTTTATCAAACACGTATTTTCTTTCTTTTTGAATGAATTTTTATTTTATATGATTAATTCATGTTTAAGGTT